CAGGTCTCGAACCCGTGGGCTCAGGCAATCCACTCACCTCAGCCTCCCAAAGGCGCGGGATGACAGGCTGAGCCACCGAGCCCGGCTGAGGCTGTGATTTGTTGTTGTTGTTGTTTACTTTTTTTATTTGTACATGTACTTGGCTGTGGCCGTCCCTCTGGCCCGTCTCAGGGTCACCTGCAGGCATGCTGCCCCGGCCCATGGCTTCTGTGACTTCTGTCCACAGGCCCCTGGGAGATGGAGGCTTAGGAGAGAACTGCAGTCCACACGGTCCGTGCCCGCTCTGTGCCCTTGGTGGGTAGCCTGAGGTGTGTTTTCTTTTTTTAGTCAGGATCTCACTCTGTTGCCCAGGCTGGAGTGCAGGTCCCTCGTGCCATGATGTTTCTTTAACACAACTGGAGCATGTGGTCTCCCTGGAGGCCCGGTGTCCAACGAGCCTGTCCCCGTGGTGTAGTCTCACCTGACCCCGGCCGCCCTCCTCACCTTCTTCCTGGGGGATCCTGTTGTTTCTGCTCCTGGAAAGTCCACTCGCCGTCACCCCAACATGCATGCAGGCTCCGACCTCCCGCCCTGCTTGCTGGGTACCAGTCTGCCTCTGTCGGCCCCGCTGGTGCTGGGGGTCACAGCTGACCCCAGGACTCGGTCTCCTGGGTAAGCAGTTCTCCTGCCTTAGCCTCGAAAGTCACTGGAACAGCAGGCCCATGCCACCACGCCAGGCTAATGTCTTGATTTTTTTTTTGGAGACGAGGTCTCACTCTGTTGGCCAGGATGGTCTTGAGCTCCTGGGCTCAAGCGATTCTCCCGCCTCAGCCTCCTAAGGTGCTGGGATTGCAGGCGTGGGCTGCCACGCTCGGCCCTCAGGTGTGCTTCGTGTTATGTCTTGAGTCCTGGGGCGCTGAGCCCTGTCCCGGGGCAGCCTGCTTTCCCACACCGTCCACTGACCTCACTTCCACCTGTCCCCTCACCCTTTCCTGTTTCCTGGGTTCGCTCCCACATAAGCCCCCTGCCCAGGGGAGCTTCGGGTCAGCTTCCAGAGAAAGCCAGGCACAGCCAAGCACTCACTGAAGCCCCCTGTCCTCCCGCCCAGGGTGGCTGCTGCTGGCGCCCAGGGCTGGGGACACCCCACCACGTAGGCCACTTCCTGCCCCAGCCCAGCCCAAGACTCACTCCCCCTTGTTCCCTTCCTGCATGTGGCCCGTCCCTAACGTTTGGGTTCTGAAGTCCTGATGTACTCGGCGATGGTGGTTTCACCCCCAGGACCCGGGGTCCTGGATGAACACACTTGTGGCCACAGGTGGCCACAGGGCAGGCACTGTGGGGTGCAGGTCATGAGAGGCAGAGCCGGGATTTGGTCCGGGGCTGCTTTCGAAGCCAGAGCTGCCTTTCCGCGTGGACTCTGCCCGTGGCAGGTGGCACGGAGTGGCTCCCCCATGAGCCTGGCTGCCGCTGACCACAGGGTCTTAGGTCCAGCCCTGGTCCCCTCAGATCCCAGCTGGTGCTTGCCCAGGGGGGCCGAGACAAGTTCCCTGTGGGAGGCTTTTCAGGTGTTAGGGCATGGACACGTTTGGTGCCAACATGCCTGGTCATGGCCCATTGGTGCCGGGTGGCAGGGGTTTGCCTTTAGAGTCACAAAGTGAATTTCCATTTGCCAATGCACTTAATGAAAGGATAGGGAGTCGATTTAAAAATAGTGACTCAGCCAGTACTTGGATGCCACAAAAAGTGGTGGGATACTGGCCTTTGGGAAGTAGCGTCTGGAACGTGGGCCCGGTGTCTCATGTGGGAGTGAGCCTCAGCCTCCTTGCTGACGTCAGTCGTGTGGACCCTTATATTTCTGTTGGAAAGAAGGGAGAGAATTTTCTTGTAATTCCAGAAGATATTTTGGAAACCTTTTCCTGATCAGCCTGTGAGGGCAGAGTGTTTTAGGCTGGGTCGACCTCCCACTTGGATTGGGACCCGGGACTCGTGCCTGGAGGCTCCTGCTGGGTGCCCAGTGGCACGTGTGACCGTGGTCCCTGCAGGGGTGGTGGCGAAGCATTCAGAACCCAGCTGCCCATGTGGGACCGAGCACCTCGCACACCCGAGCAGGCCGCCTGGACAGCAGCTTCCCTTTACGGGAACAGGTTCATGTTTACACGTCAGTGATGTGTTTTTGGCATTCTTGACGGAGCATGATGGGTTCAGCCTCAGGAAATTCCGCTGGGGTTTATAAATAGTGAGTTCAGGGCTGGGCTTGGTGGCTCAGCCTGTCATTCCAGCACTTTGGGAAGTCAAGGCGAGAGGATTGCCTGTGCCCACGGGTTCAAAACCAGCTTGAGCAACTTGGCGAGACCTCATCTCTACAATAAATAAAAATTAGCCAGACATGGTAGCACACACCTGTAGTTCTGGCTACTTGGAAGGCTGAGACCGAAGGATTGCCAGAGCCCAGCAGGTGGACGCTGGGGTGGCCATGAGTGTGCCATGATACTCTAGCCTGGGTGACGCAGTGAGACTCCAACTCAACAAAACAAAACAAAAACAAAAAAAAGTAAATAGTGAGTTCAGGGTGTCCAGGGTTCCTGGGATTAGAGCTGAGCTGAGTGTGTGTGTGTATGTATCTGTGTGCACTTGGTTTTTGCTAAAGCCACCATCCCCCAAACGTGTCTGCTTTTACTTCAAGATGCCCCATGGCTGGATTTCTGGAGTGTCTGCTGTGTCCTTGTCTTGAACCCCTCGCTGCACAGACGAGTCCCAGGGAGCAGCCGCCCATTGCACTGCAGCCCCTGAGGCCCACCCTTGAGGTCCTCGCTGCACTGAGGCAGCCTCGCCGGACCTCCTAGCGTCAGGCCTCCTGCCCTGGCCAGCAGACAGCCACGCAGACTCCGCCCCGAGTGGTGTCAGCCCCGGAGGCCCACGAGGGTCCCCAAGCCCAGTGCGGCAGGAGTTCTCCCCCAGTGACTCTTCTCTCTCCGCGACAGGGACGGAGACCTTCGCGCTCTTCAACAAGCCGACGGGCCAGCAGAGGGCCCTGGAGTACTACCCCGTCACCATTCCCCTCCGGGTCTCCAGGAACGGCCAGACGGTCAGCGGGGTGGATGCCAACTGGCTGGAGCACACGAGTGACCATTTCCGGAAGGGAGGCGTGCTGGTGAACGCAGCCTTCTGCCTTGGCGCGGTGAACGGTAGGCTTTCCCGGCCCCCGGCAGCCCTGAGGCTCCGCTTCTCGCCCTTGGACTCCTCGCTCCATTCAGGGGGCACTTCTGGGGGACTGTCCTTCAAGCCCCGGGCCTGTGCTCCCTCGCCTGCCCTCGGGGTCAGCCAGGCATCTTCTGACACGACAGCAAAGGGCAGAGATGGTTTCATCGGAGGCGACCTCGGTCTTGAGCTTGGAGACGTTTAGAAAGAGTTCCCTGGGTGTGATAATTGCCCCCCCGGATCGTGCTATTCCCAAAGGGCAGACTGTAGACACAATTACGTTATGCAACAGCCCCAGTGGCACCTTGGAATCAGCAGCAGGGAGATCGTTTGAACAGCCAGAGACAGACATGGTCGGGTCTCCCGGCGCCCAGCACCCCTCTCCTGAAACGGGGTGGCACTGTGGATGTCAGCCTTTCTAAGGCAGGGAGCAGGTCCAGCCTCCGTGGGGAAACACGCCAAGCAGAGAACAGGCTTGGGGTGAGCATCGAGGCAGGTGGAACTGCCAGGGACTCAGAGCCGGGAGGGGACCGGGGCCAGCGTGAGTCAGGGCAGGTCCCCAGGCTGCCGGCAAACAGGAGGGCTGGTGACCCAGATCCTAGATCTGGGGGTCTAGCGGAAGCTGGCGGGGGCCGACCCGCCGGCTCTGGTGGTGGGGTGGTTTTCTCTCTCGAGAATTAGCAGACTGGGGAGTGGAGTGTGGCCTCCATGTTGCCTGAGTCCTTGCTGGGCTGGCGAGCATCTTTAGAAAGAGACATCATTCTGGATGATGAGCATGTGTGTTTTAAGTCACCCAGCGCCTTTGAGCGTGACACGCACAGATGATCTGGCTTTTGGGTGCAAGTCTCTTGCGGCTGTGTGAACGTCGGTGCCTGACACCGACACGTTCTTGTGGGAGCAGTGGACATTGTATAGTGTTGTCGTTCGTATCCATTTGTTGTTGTGTGTTTTTTGGTTTTTTTTTCAGTCGGGGTCTCACTCTGTTGTCCAGGCTGGAGTGCAGTGCCACCATCATGGCTCAAACATCCTCAGCCTCCTGGGCTTAGGCAATCTTCCCACCTCAGCCTCCTGAGTCGCTGGGGGCTACAGGTGTGTGCCACCACACCCACTAATTTTTTCTTTTCTTTTCTTTTGTAAAAATGAGATCTCATTATGTTGCCCAGGCTGGTCTTGAACTCCTGGGCTTAAAAGCAATCCTCAGCTGGACTCAATGGCTCAGCCAGTAATCTCAGCACTTTGGTCGCGTCGCTTGGCTTCAGTTGCGTCAAGTCCAGCTTCCTGCCTTAAGAAGGAACATGAGGTCTCCCCTGCACGTGCCGCCGTGGGGTGCCCTGAGCCTTGGTGCCTCCCTGCTTGCTGCCAGCTCAAGGGTCACACAGCAGCAGCCTCCGTGCCGGGGAGGCCTGCACCGTCCTCTGAGCAGAATGAACAGAAACCCACTCTGATCTCTGATGTGACCCTCCAGACGTTTCTGCTGGGAGGGAGGGTGGGACTTGGCCTGTGCTTGGTGAGTCAGGGTGTTTCTGCTCTGGAAAAACCCGAGGTTTCCGTCAGCCAGGAATATAGGAGGTATGTGTTCTTTTCCCAGAACTGGAAAAAAAGCGGGGGGGCAAGCTAATCACAATCATAAAAGGAACCCATTTCTAATGAGATAATTAGTGTCCTTACAAATAAACCTGGCAGAGATGGAAGCATATCTCTAAGCTGTTTGCCATCTGGAAAATCTCCAGTCGTGGCTCTTAAATAGACATTATACTCCAAAATATTTTCCACAGGGCCATAAAGCCCCTGAGAACTTTGTCCCATAAGCAAGGCGATGTTTCCGCCCGAATTATCCACTGAGGCCCCAGCTTCTGTGTTTGAGGCGTGGAGAGGCGAGTGCGTTCCCAGGTACAAGCGTGCTGGTGGCGTCCAGCTCCTCGCCCGGCATCTTGAGTGCCCCTGCCCTTGGGCCCTGCAGAGGGGAGGGACGGCCGTGGCAGGACGCTTGGCGGCTACTCTGCATGGGTGCTGGTCTAAGTGATCCCTGTGTGGCCGTCATGTCACCGTCACGGCAACCCCAGGGCGCAGCGGCTGTGTGGATCCCTGTGTTACCGCTGTGGAAACTGAGGCATCGTGTCATTGTCCAAGTCACAGCGAACAAGCGGGAGGGCAGGGCTGTGGGCAGAAGCAGGCGCGTGTGGGGCGAGAAGAGAGGGAAGGTGTGTCTGTGTGCACAGGAGCTGTGGCCCTATGGCCTTGGCCCTCCAGGGAGACGTGGAAGGCTTCAGGGTTCCCTGGAGAGGCGCGGGACTCGGTGGAAGGAGGAATGCGGTCCAGGGCCACACGGCAGAGAGAGGCACTTGGGAACCCATGGGCCGGTAACACAGAGGCCGGGGTCTGTGTTCCTGGAGGCCAGGAGAGGCCATGTCCCTGCAGGTGCACGCTGTGGTCACCGCACTCGGCCTGTTAGTGCAGAAGTGAGAACAAATGTTCCCGTTCTCCTTTCACAAGCCAGACTGTCCCTGGAGGAGCTGATATGGCTGACGCCCGTGGCTCTGAGACCATCCTCCCTTCCATCAGAGGCCGTGCAGTGCTCTCAGCTGCCTGATTCCAGGACTGGCGCCGCCGACTGCAAGTGTGGCCACCCTGGTGGGTGACACCAGTGCAGATGCTGTTCAGCTGGTCTCAGACACAGGCTCCACCACTCCCCCACCTGCAGTGAGTCTGCTCCGTTAGCAGGGAGTGAGCACAGCAGGGCCTGGCCTGCTCCCAGCCCGCTGGCCGCCCTGCGTTTGCGACCACTCCTGCACAAACGCAGTGACCGCTCGTCCTGGCGTGCACGTTCAGGCCGGGCTCGGCTGGGCATGGCCAGTTGGGGTTGAGCCCGAAGCCACCTGGCCTGATACATCTGGGTGTCTGGGGGTGGCGGAGAAGAGGACCTGTCCCCCAGATTTTCCCTTCCACGTCCTTTTTGTGAGTCAGAAGCTTGGAGTATTAGGGTGGCCTTTTGCCAAAGATCAGCATCAAATATTGATGCTCAGGGCAGACCGCTTTTGTGCACAGCAGGAGCGTCTGCGCTTTAATAACAGATGCCGTCCACAGATGGAGGGACGCCGTGGCTCTGGGATGGACCTGTTTACACCCAGCTTGGTGCACACTGGGGTGGGCCGGGCCAGGCCGGGCAGGCAGCAGGGAGGTCAGGGGGTAAGGCCGCCAGCACAAGGGTGCTCTGAAGCCTGGCGTCCGCTCCGTGGTGCACTGGCTGTTTTGCTGTTCCAGATGACCATGCTTTGACAGCCCTTCTGAATGTGCTTCGTGGTCCAGAAGGTGAGTCAGCACGGTGGAGTCATGGTGGCAGGGCCATGGGCCCCGAGGCCGGTAGTGAACTACGGGGTGTGCACAGACCTGCGTGTATCCCCCACGCTAACTCTGCCTGACCACCCAGCCCTCCTCCCAGGCCTGTGACTCAGAGGAAGGAGAGGAAGCCAGGCAAGGGGTGAGGGGGACATAGGCGGGGTCTGCAGGTGTCCCCTTCCCCGCCTGGACCTAGCCTCTGCTGTACTGTGCGCGACTGGGCTAAAGCATGTGGAGTTGGGCGCTTCGGTCCTTAGAGCATGTGCTTTGCATGCTGAAAGGGTCTGGGGTTGTCCGCTGAGGGGCCTGGGAAATCAGATGCAACATGTTTCTAGGGGTGTCTCAGGAAGTGCACTCCATGTTGAGGTAACCCGGAAGGCAGCATCGGTGCCCTCTGGTCTGGAGCGCCCAGGTCAGGACGTGCGGAAGCTTTACCCAAAGGGCACTCCTACCGTGCAGCCGCTCCAGCCGGGCCCCAGAGCGTTGAAGTGGGCTGGACCCAAGCCCTGGCGCCGCGGCTCAGTGGAACGTGTCTCCTGGGAGCCATTGGTGACACTTGGGGGACCTTTCAGCAAGGCAGATGGGAGAACAGACCCAGCAGTGGCCAGGGCATGGGAGGACACTCTCAGGAAGGAGAAATGGGAGCACATGGTGGGTTTACCCTCGACCTCACTAGAAACGGAGCGTGATCCTGCCAGGAGGAGGTCAGGGTGAGGCAGCTGGGCTCCACCCTCGCAGACACGGCTTGCTGAGCTGTTCAGGCCTCATTGTTATTCGGGGGTTGTCAGGAATATCCCAGGCTCAGTAAGGTTCTATGGGCTCGCGTTTCCTAGGTCTAGGTTGGACGTTGTGTCCGTCAGCTGTTGGCAAGGTGATGCCATGTAACAAGGGTGCCGGCACTCATTGGCGCAAAACAGTAAGACTTTATCCTGACAGGTCTGGGAGTTGGCTGGGCAGCCCTGTCTGTCCCAGCTGGGCCCTTCGCAGGCCTGAGGGTCAGGTGGTCTCAGCTGGCTCCACTGGGGCAGCTCAGCCCACGTGTCCTTCATTCTCCCGGGACCCCCTGGCCAGCTGGGGCATGTCCGCTCTGAGCAGTGGCCAATGTCAGAGGCAGGCTCAACACACACGTGACTTTCAACCTCCTCCCTCTCATGTCCAGTGGCCTCGTGAGTCTCTGGATGAGCTGGTAGCGGGTCCCCCAGGCCATGCACAGCCTTCCCTCCTTGCCTGCCGGCTCTGCGGCTCTGGAGTTCTTGCAGCCCTCAACACTCCACGGCCCGTGAGGCTGTGTCCCGCCTGGACCCTCAGCCCTGCAGGTCTGTGTCTCCGGCTCGCGTGGTGCCTTGTGTCCTACCAAGTGGGAGCCCTTCCTGCGCCCTTAGACGCGGGCACTGCGCCTCCACCACCATGCCCTCCCCTGGGCCCATGTGGCGCTTCGTAGCATCTGTCCCCTCTGACATCGTGTCTGCGTCTTTCTTGCCCACCACAAGGTCAGCTCTGTGGCGGCAGGGACATGGCCTTGTGCTTGGGAGACTCCGGGGCCCACTGCGTGCTTGGCTCCAGGGTGCTGGGCAGGTGTGGCTGGGAGGTCATTCCGGGTGCGCGTGTTCCCGGCACCACGCCTCTGGCCCTGCTTGGCCCTGACTTCCATTTTTGGACGCCTCCGAGCCGTCTTTCTATTTAGAGTGTGCTAAAATTGTCTCCCTGTAGTTTCTAAAACTCCCATTCTAGTTATGCCTTCAGGAGTCACGTAGGAGAGAAGAGGAGCATTCTTTCTCGCTTGTGCTGTCCATTTACTCGAGGGACACCCGTGTTAACTCTTGTTAAGCACCATGCAGAAGAGGAATAAAAAAAGAACATCCCAATTATGTATCATTCCACCACCGCTAACTGCTTCTCACATTTCGTGCATTTCTTTAAGGTTTGCTTGTCTGAACCTCTTTAGCATAAGAATTCATATTCAGCTCACAACAGCAATTTTGTGTCCTGGTTTTTTCTTTGTATTATTGTATCTAAAGCTTTTCTTTTTGAATCATTAAATTCCAGTGATATTTTTGGGTGCCGTCTAGTCCTTGACTGTACAGATCTCTGAGTTTATATAACTACTTTTCTGTGGCTGAATAGTTTGACTGTTGAACATTTAGATTGTTAAAGTTCGTAAGTGATTTTAGAATTGCTTGAAGATGAGTGTTGCTGGCATTCGTGGGGATTACTCAGGGCAGACAGGAGAGGTAGGACTTTGGGGTCAAAGATAATGGCCTCTGTGGCAAGCTCTCGAGGCGAGCATTGTGAAATTCCTCTCCAGAAGCCTTGTGCAGTCAGAACGCCCGAAACGCTGTGAGCTTGCCGGCTCACCATGCCTTTACCAGCAAGGAGGACTTGCTTTTCAAAATTTGCCAACTTGTTGAACAGAAAAAAGGTTGCTTAAAAATTTTTTTTCAATATTTACCGGCCATGGAGAGAGAGAAAGAGAATTCATAAACTGCTAGTCCATGTCCTTTGTGTCTAACGATGTTTTCGTTTTTTGAGTTTGGGTTTTGTTGTTGTTGTTGTTTTTGGTCTTTTGAGTCAGAGACTCATTCTGTCACCCAGGTTGGAGTGCAGTGGCACAATCATGGCTCACCACAGCCTTGCCCTCCTGGGCTCAGGAGATCCTTTCATCTCAGCTGGGACTATAAGCACATGTCACCACGTCCAGCTATTTTTTTATTACTATTATTTTTTTATCGAGACAAGGTCTTGCTATGTTGCCCAGGCTGGTCTCAAACTCCTGGGCTCCCAAAGTGCTGGGCTGACAGGCATGAACCACCATGCTCAACCTGTTTTAATATTTTTAACTATTGATTTATAAAAGCTTTTTTTATATAAAGAATCGCAAACTCAGTTTTTTGTTTATTTTGCTATCTCTACAAATTTTCTCGTGGCAGTGGCCTTTGGATTTTGTGCGTGGGGTCTGTGGATAGAAGACAAGCAGAAGAACACCATGCCGTCACACCTATCGATCTTTTTCTTTGGGACTTCCAGAAAATACCGTCGGTTCCAGGAGCTCAGTGATTCAAGAGCTCTCTGAATTTGTCTCCCTTCCCTCCCTGGGGAAAGAAAGGCCCCATGGTTATGGATTTGTCCTAGTCAAAGTGTCCTTTTCAGAGAGCATATCACTGAGATGTGTTTTGTACGTACTGGGTTTGCTGGGGCTGAGGTAGCAAATATCACAGAGCAGGTGGCCTGAGCAGTGGGCATGAATGTCCTCCCAGTTCTGGAGGCTGGAGGCCCATGACCAGGGGCCAGCATGCTTGGTCTCTGGCAAGGGCTCTCCCTGCCCTGGAGACGGCCACCTCCCTGCTGCGTCCACCCGAAGCCTTGCCTTCTAGCGCACCCCAGAGGGAGAGTGAGAAGGTACAGGTTTTGCCTCTTCCTCTGAGGACACCAGTCCCACTGGACGTGGGCCCCTCTCCAGTAAGCGAGGACCTCCCATAGGCTCTGTCTCCAAACCCAGTCGCACTGGGGCTGGGGCTTGAACACAGGAACGTTGAGAGGACACAAACCAGTCCATATAACACAGCTGTGTCCACAGAACAGAGTGGAGGGCCGGGAGGGGTTGCCCATCCAAAACCCCTTTCACAGGCGAGAGGTCACGCCCCCAAGAGTCAAGGGCCTCTTCAGGCCAGAGCCTGGATCACGCCACCCCCTCCTGAGTCAGCCCCGTCTCCCACTGCCTTGTATCAGAACGAATCTAGGCCTGTGGGAGCCTTGCCTCCCAGAAGGGCAGATGGGGCCTCCTGGGGTCTCTTGCAGGGGCAGGGACTGTCACCCATGTTTCTTTGCACCTCACTGCCTGGGGCATGTCTTGGTCACGCGTCTACTCGATGAGTTTTAGAGCCCAGAGCCTGGTATACAGGCCAGGGACATGCCTGAGGAAGCATTTCCGGTGGCGGATTATTTGGGAAAGCTCCAAGGCCCCCAAGGGCCCCGGGCCTCTTGCCGAGAGCTTCCCAAGGGGCCAGCCAGCAGCCCGCATGGTGTGGACTGCCAAGAATCGAGGCATCCCCAGGGCAGATCCACACGTTTTATCTGCCTCCTTAAAACCCTCACCTACTGAAATCCGGCCTCCTGTGAAGAGAGGCTCGCAACGGGCCTGCGCTGCCCTGGGAAGCATCCCCAGCGCGTCCTGGCGCTGGAGCGTGAAGGGAAGGTAAACGCGTGAAATCAGATGGTGATTGCCAACAATGAAGCTCGGCTCATAAAATCAAGGGTATTATTCCACGCCGCGAGGTAAATTAGTCGCATTCATCCTGACGGGCTCGACGCGGTGGCTGTGCGTGCCTCCTTGAATTAACATGCCGGAGAGACGTGCTGATTGGGATTATTAACGAGGCGGCGGCGTGGTCTCTGCCTGGGGGCTTCCGCCGCGGCCTTCACAGAGCCCCCTCCTCTCTCCGCAGATTCCTCACACGGCGTGACGGACGGGGTGTTCATCTTCGAGGCCGTTTCCGCCGACGACGGCAAAACCACGCAGGGCTACGACGCCATCGTCGTCGAACAGTGGACGGTGCTGGAAGTAAGTGAGGGCGGCGTCTCGCTGTGGATAGCAATCGTACCCACCCACTCGGGCCGACCGGGCGGTGGCTTCCTCTGAGAGGGAGCCCACCTGGTAGACCGGATGGGGCCCCTGGGTCCCTTCTCACCCCTCCTGTCCCAGCCCCCGGTAGGGGCGGCCCTGCCTTTCTCTTTCTGCCGGAAAAGCACAGTGTGCACGTGCCTGGCCGTTGCGTGGAAAAGAGATGTCTTTCGCTTATTTGCACAGAACTGAAAGTGCTGACACATGACTGAGGCCCCGTGGTTTGTGGCCTCGTAGTAATCAGGGCAGCGTTATTAGTGGGGCCAGACCCCGAGCCCCTGTGCCAGACGTCCTGGAGGATGCCCACGAGCTCACTGAGGCTCACGTCAGCCTAGTGGGTGCGTGCTGCCACGGCCTCTGATTTAGGAATGGGGAAACAGGCCCAGAGAGGGCAGGTCCCTGGTCCGAGGTCACACAGAAAGTGCTGGAGGAGGTGTTTGGGAAACGCTGACCCCTGAGGCGCTCACTCTGCTGTGGCGGGGGAGGCCTCGCCCGTGCCCCCTAGGGTTTTGGAGGAGCTGGTTGACATCTCAGGCCCACTGGCGGGTCCTCAAGGCGTTTCTCTGGCAGTGGAGGAAGCGCAGGCTTCCTAGGTCAGCGCGTGCCGCGTTCGAGGCGGAAAGTGCCGGAGCGAGGTGCTGTCTGGGCGCGGAGGACTGACGGGCACACACCTTGGAAGAACGCAGGGGTGGCCTTGCTCCGGGGGCTTCCGCCTCACTGAGCCCTCCAGGCCCAAGTGAGACCGCGGCGGACATGGGCACAGCGCTCTGTGGGCTGTGTGGGACGTGGGGGCCTGCGGCCAGCACTGGCACGTCCTTGCGCCTGCTGGAACTGCCACTTTGAGGCATCCTCGCCTGGTTGCTGGAGCGAGGGTGGGTGCCCCAGGCCCTGCCACTCAGCTTGGAAGCGCCATGGTTCCCAGCAGGTGTGTGGAGGACCGGCTTGCTTGTGTCTGAGCCATGCTGAGAAGCAACTGCTTCCAAGTGTGACAGCCACAGAGTCCACAGAGAAATGGCGTCAAATGCCAAACCACCAAGTCTGGGGCCCATGAGGGGAGGGCCAGATGTCCTGAGCATGTGCGTGGAGGGAGGTGGGGAGCCCAGTGACACCCACTTGCTATCAGGCTCACCCAGTCAGTCCTTGTGACGCTGGTGCCCGTGGGCTCTCCCGTCTCCACACTGGAAATGGGTGCCCAGGAAGAAGGCTTAGCCTAAGACGCAGAGCCCATGCGGGCAGGTCAGGTCACCTCTCAGACTGACCCTCCCCAGCGGCAGGGTGGGCAGGTCACCGACCCTGTATGCAGTGAAGGGGGCTCCAGTGGCAGCGAACTGTGCCTGCCAGAAGCAGCAGTGGGCTGAGGGTCTTGACCGCGTGGCCTGCTCTGTGGCTCTTGGTGCGTGGTCACACTCAATATGCGTGACTGTGCAAAGGCCTGGCAGGCCAGAGGGATGTGTGCCATGTTCCTGCCATCTGGGTATTAAATGGCTGTCAAGGGAGGGCTCTGTGGTTTCCTCAAAAGGGGTGACTTCACGTCGGTGATCCAGAAGCACCTTTAATAAGGGTTCTCAAGGTGTGGTCCCAGGACCGGCCATGCCTGCATCACCTGGGCCCCGTTCCAGGCGGACTGAATCAGGAGCCCCGGGGTGGGGCCGGCAGACATGCATTTTAACAGGCCCTGCAAGGGCTTCTGGTGCTCGCTGCATCCTAAGAGCCAGCATTCAGCCGTCACACTGGCCGGGTGTCTGCAGCCGCACGTTGGTGGAAGGGCTGGGGGCGAGGGAAGCACCCACGGCCCCCCTTCCTTCAGCCTGTGAAAGCTCCGGCGACCTTGATGGGGGCTCGGGGAACACACGCTGTGCCAAGTGCTTGTGAGGGAAGACAGGGTCACAGACTGAAACCAGGACACAGCTCTCTTTTTAATTCGAAATGAGGTCGATTCTGGTGGTTAAGACGTGAGATCAGGAGTGAGTGACGTTTATTCAGAAACTTCCTGGACACGCGGAACAGTTTCCGTTGGGTCTCTTTGTTCATCTTATTTCTTTCCCAGACGTTCGAACTTTTTCCTTCCTGACCCTCTTATTTTTGTGCATTTGTCTTTGATGGTATTCGTGTTGGGAGTCCCCTCCTCCAGGAATGCTGTTGTGGCTTCCCCCCAGATGCCCCCGGAAGTAAGATTGGGCTGTGGAGGCCCGTGAGGGGCCCAGGGCACACATGGGCTCCCAAAGCTGGTTCCACACGTCTCTTCCCAACGCCACGCTCAGGGATATCAGGCTGGTATTGAAACTGGCCGTGACGGAAGCATTTACACCCCGGAAATTGGCAGGTGCCAGTAATCGATCTTCTTCCGCCTGGAGAGCCAGTTGTAAGCGCCCACCAGCACACCCCGATGGGCCTCTGTTTCGCCACATTCAACATTGTAATGTGAAGGCGAGGCTGGTGTCCAGTCAGGGAGGGGCAGATTTTCTTACTGCTCGTGAGCGTGGTGATGGCAGACCGATGACCTGCGATGTCGGTCACCAAGTGTCCCTGCACAGATCTCACCCGCGTTCCTCCCACTTGTGTGTCTGGAGCCCCCCACACCTGCTGCCGCAGACAGACTCCCGCCTCTGACGCATCAGCCTCCGCTGTGGTTGGAGTGTTGGCACCCCTCCAAGGTCCCTGTGGGATCTGCACTCTCAAGGTGATGGTATTAAAGGTGAGGCCTCGGGAAGGGATGAGGCCACGAGGCTGTGCCCTCTCAGGTGGAACCAGCACCCCTGTAAGAGGGCTTCAGAGAGCCGCCTCCTCCCCGCCCTTCCTCCTCTGCATGTGAGGACACAGCGCTCAGCCCCTTCCGTCCCTTCCACCATGTGAGGACATCTAGATAGCACCATCTGTGGGGAACGGGCCCTCCCCAGACACGGCACCTCTTGGTGCCTGGATGTTGGACTTCCCATTCTCCAGAACTGTGAGACACAACGTTTCTGTTATTTATACGGCACCCAGTCCGTGGTATGTTGTTATAGCAGCAGGAATGGACTGAGACAGAAACTGATACCGGGAAGTGGGGCGTGACTGTAACTACTACACAAACGTGTGGCAGCAGCGTTGGCCCCGGGTCATGGGGAGAGGCTGGAAGTGTTTGGAGGCTCCTGCCAGGAAAAGCCCAGATTGCTGGGAACTGAGTATCCGGGGATTCTGGCGAGGGCTCAGAAGAGGAGAGAGCCTTGACCTTATCAGAGAGGACCTAAGGGGCCACGATCAGACTGTTGGTGAGATGCAGGCATTAAGGCCTTTCGACGAGGTCTCGACGCAGAAGAGGTGCAGGGGCTGGAAGCTGCAGGAAAGGTGATCCCTGTTATAAAGGGGCCGATTCGTGTCCGTGTCCTCGTGCTTTGTGGAAGGCAGAGCTTCAGAGAGGTGCCCGCGGAAATCTCTGAGCAGAGTGCTGAGGGCGCAGCCTGGCTTCTCTGGCTGGCTCACAGTAACGCATGAGGAGAGAGAAATGACTTGAAGAGTTTATCCTCCAAAGGGAAGCAGAGCTTAGGGATTTGGGAGGCTCTCGGCCTGGCTGTGTTGTCAGGAGTGAAAAGGCGTGTTCAGGAGAGAAAGCCAGGGTTGGCCGGGCTGCTGTTGCTTGTGGAGATCGGTCTGGGTGGAAGGAAGCCGTGGGCAGTTCACCAGACGGTGAGAGAAATACCGCCAGGGCCGCCGCTCCCGTCAGAGCCCCGAGTGCCGAGGCCTGGGGGCAGAGCTGTGTCCAAGGAGGGGACTCGGGCCTCCGCAGGACCTTGGGCTTGCTGCCCGGCGCCATCTCAGGTTTCTGCTCCACACATCAGGTTAAGATGCCCCTGAGGTTGGCATCTCCTGGGCAAGAGGGGGCGCAGTCTCACTGGGCAGGCTGCGCCCTGGGTTTCTGGCTTTTTTCCTCCCTGCAACTGGCGGGAGCAGCTTTCTGGAGTCAGCTCGTGGGTCCCCTGCTGCAGGGCAAAGGACCGCTTCTCTGTGTCCCTGCCCCCATCCCCCTCTGTGTCCCTGCCACCCTGTGTCCCCAGCCCCCTCCGTGTCCCCATCCCTCTCCGTGTCCCTGTCCCCATGACCCTGTCACTGTCTGTAGCCCCGTTCCGCTCCGTGTTCCCATCTCTGGGTCCCCGTCACCAGCTGTGTCTTCATCACCATCCACGTCCCTGCCACCCTTTGTGTTCCCGTCACCGTCTGTGTCACCGTCACCGTCTATGCTGTCCCCGTGTCCCCCTCACCCTCTGTGTCCCCGTCACCTCCATGTCCCCATCTGCCTTTGTGTCCATGTCTCTCTCCGTGTCTCCATCTTCTTGTGTCTCCGTCACCACCCGTGTCCCATCCCCCTTGTGTTCCCATCACTGTCCATGTCACCATCACCCTGCATGTTGTCCCCGTGACCCTGTCCTGCTCTACAGCCCCATCCCTTTCAAGCCCTTCCATGTCCCTGTCACACTCTGTGTCCCCGTCCCCCTCCATGTCCCCGTCCCCCTCCGTGTCCCCGTCCCCCTCCGTGTCCCCGTCCCCGTGTCCCCATCACCCTCCATGTGGTCCCCCCATATTCTTGCCACCCTTTGTGTTCTTTCTGTCACCCTCTGTGGGTGAGCCTGTCACCGTTTCTGTTGCCATCATTGCTTTGTCTGCCCACCTTCCTCCCTGTTGTGAGTCCTGGCCTGGGAACACTCATCTTTGTTCTCCAAGGCCCTCCGGTAAGTACTCGATGACTTGGCTGAGGCTGGGTGGTTCAGCCCAAGCGTTTCGCAGAATTGAGCTTGTATCAGAACCACCCGGCGAGCTTTTGAAAACACGCACATCCGGGCTCTGCCCCCGGGGTTTCCTGTTTCACGGGTGCCTTTGTTGGCTTGGGCTGCCACAACAAAATGCCACAGACTGAACTGGTCTCCTCACAGGTGTGGAGACCGCAAAGCATGGGAACTAGGTTC